ACAAGGTTGCGAGTTTGTATGTATTCTAGGTGTGTGTGTGGTTTTTTTTAAGCGTTTCACCCCAAGCAAGGCAGGAAGCCACTAGGACGCAAGGGGTTACAGAAGATTTGGAGCAAGATCAGATAGGAGTGATAGAGGAAAAGATGTGGAGAAGGATAGTGGATAGATCAAGGCAACTGGAGATATCGATTGATATTACATTTGAATAGCTGGAGATTATAGCTCTCAGGGAAACTGGAATAGGGAAGGGAGTTCCACAGGCGAGAGGTGCGAGACATGAAGCTATTGGAGTAGAAGAGACGACTACATTTAATAATTTCAACAGTGAAATGGTGAGAGCGGGATGCCATCCTCGTAGGGCGCTTGAATTCATGAAGTCTGGGAACCAGCGAATGCAGCTCCTCGGAGCAATTGCCATAAAAGTATTTGTAAAAAAGACAGAGAGAGGCGACGGCGCGTCTGTGAGAGAGCTACTGTAGACGAGATGCCAGATCAGGGAGAATTATATTGCATATCGGCCTCTGGAGCCTATCAAGAACCCTGAGGCAAACAGAAGGGGCTCCGGACCATATATGGCAGCAATACTCCATGCAAGGGCGAATTGTTGATTTGTAGATCTGAAGGATCGATTCTGGGGAGAAAAAATTCCTGGCACGGCACAGGGAACCAACTTTCCTTGTGGTGGACGAAGCAATTGTCTCAATGTATTTGTTCCATCTCAGGTCAGCATTCAACGTGAGACCGAGCAGCCGCAGAGAGGTGCTCTCGAGAAGTTGAGCGTCAGACATTCTAATGGAGTGCAGGGAAGGATCTCTGTGGTGATTAATAGAGAGCAGTTTTGTTTTTGAGGCATTAAAGTTGACCAGCCAATTCCTGCCCCAGTTCACAACCGATTGGAGGTCCTTTTCGAGACGCACGGCCAGGTCAGTTTTGCCAGCGACACTGGATTTGTTTTTGAGGCAGAAGTAAATTGTAGTGTCGTCCGCGTAGATGCCTACTTGGGAATCTATGACGTCAAGAAGATCGTTGATGAAGATAAGGAACAGAGTAGGGCCCAGGATGGAGCCTTGAGGAACACCTGCGTTTGTGGGATAGGAACTGGAGGAAAATCTGTTGAGAACGACCTTCAATTCACGGTTTGATAGGAATGATTGTATTAGGTCAAACAATCGACCTGTAATACCATAACCCTAGAGCCTGCGAAGGCCGGCATGCATAACCCTATCAAACACTTTGGAGATGTATAAGGCCACGGCACGAGCTTCCCCGTTATTTTGAAGAGCTTGATAGACAGTTTCAGTGATGGCCGTAAGCACATCAGCTATAGATCGGGCAAAGCAGAAACCATATTGCTTGTCTGAGAGCAGATCATGGGATATAAGGTGGTTAACCACTTCGGTGTTGATCAGGGCTTCGAAGACTTTGCTGAAAAGGGGTAGGAGACTGATAGGACGGTATTTAGAAGGTTCAGAGGAGTCGCCAGAGTTCTTAAAGACAGGAACAGTCGATGTGGGCTTCCAGCAGTCAGGAAAACAAGATTCCTTGAGGCAGTAGTTATATAGTTTAGAGAGGGCGAGCGCCAGTTTAGGCGCGCATTTTTTCAAGACAATGGCTGGTATACCATCTCCACCACTAGCCTTGTTGGGGTCTAAACTGGAGATAATGTCCAATACCAAAGACGAGATTATGTGTAACCCGCTCAATAGGGCCGCAGTTCTAAGAGGGAAGTCGGGTATGGGTACACCGGAAGAGTCAAGCGTTGAGTTGAATGAAAATTTCCGAGTAATGCATTCAGCCTTGTCGGCAGAGGAGGTCAGGGCCTCGAACTGGTTGAACAAAGGAGGTATAGAGGGTTTGCTATTGTTCTGTACGCTCTTGCAGAGACGCCAATAATCTTTCGAGCCAAATTTGCGAGATGCAATACGTTCCTTCATCTGAGCAGCAAATAGTGACTTAGCTTCGTTGAGGACACGCTTACAGTCGTTACGGGCGGAGGCAAAGAGACGTCTGTTGCAGTCCGACAACGAAATAGGTGAAAGAAGTGGTACCTTTGGGCAATGGTGGCTGAGCAAGCAGCGGAGAACCAAGGGGAGGAGCGCGACTTGACCCTATATTTCCTTGGGGGGATGAAAGCGTCGATTCCAGCTTTAACACGGGATGAGACCTCAGAAGCACATTCTTGGACGGGGAGCCTAAAGACAACATCCCAGGAGACATCGCGGAGGAAATCACGGAACGTGTCCCAGTCAGCTCGTTGATAGTAGAACAAAGTTCTAGTGGTAGGAGGTTCTTTGCAGGGGGGTGGAGTGCATGTTCACATCTGATAAACAAAGGAGAAACATACAAAACTTGGGTTTCTACTACGTACCGGCACCTCGGCGTGGCGTAATGGTTAGCAAGCTTGTCTCGCTAGAACAATTACAACTGAGTAGTGAGTTCGATCCTCACTAGGTGCTCCATACTTCCGACTTTGTGCCACATCTAAGCTACGCTTGGAAAATCAATACTACGGTCCATTTGTTCTTTTTTTATGGTGACTATAGTGAAACAATGTTCTTAATGCCTCTTGGATATGTCCGCTTTCTTTTTAGTGCAAAAGTTAAAGTATAAGCACCTCTGTAACTGTCGAGCTCAAGTCAGCCTTGCATAGAGTTGAAACAACCCCAGAAAAGGTTAACCTTACTTTATCGTTGGAAGGTTTAAACATAGTTATCGTATGTCCGTTTTCTTTTTCTTGATCCGGATGTTCGGGTAAGTGAGTATAAGCATCGTATTAATGGTCGAGGCCACGTCAGCCTTGCGCTGAGTTGGAACAACCAAAGAAAAAGCTTGTCTTATTTCATATGTCGCGGTTTTAGAAGACACGTGCGGGCGTCATGTGTTCAGTCGTCAGTTAACTGGTGAAGCTAAGTTCCTTATCGGGAACGTAATTACCATGTTGTGCTACATCTTGGAGCAAAGGGGAGAAAGAGAGTGAGGCAGGAATACATTTGTCTTTTTATAGACTTCAACAGCGCCATCTAACGACATTTGACGAAAACAAGTAAGGTAATCATATTTCTTTACTCTTTGTATTTTGGGGAAAATGTATTTCATTTTCTTTCTTTTATTATTTATTATCATTATTTTATTTATCGAATTTAATTCCTTTTCTCACAAAGAAAAGATTTGAAATTGACAACTTTTCCTTTTCACCGAAGCAGACGTTAAACTCTTCTTTCTTTTTTCTTTCTTTCTTTCTTACATTTTCTCATTGAAACCAAGTATCGTCTGTAATATGTCAGTTCATGATTTCACGTGTTGAAAACCAAATTTAAGTTTAAAACAAAGAAAGTTTAAGTTTTTTAAAACAAAGAAACGGATAAAAAAATTACTAGGAGTTAAGTTAAATGTACATAGTAATGTGAAAGAAATAGAGAAGGAGAAAAAATGAATAAGAAAGGGCGGATATTCAGAAAAAATATTAGTTACCAACATAGATTAGAACAGGCAGACATTTCTAGTGGGTTCTTTTAACGAAAATTGAAGCAGATGTGATTTCTGGTCGATACAGTTTTTGATGAGAGACAGCGCTTAAATCTCTCAGGCCAAATTATGTTGGTGTGGTGTGGGGAGAGGTCATTCTAAGAAGGCTGCCGTGCCAGCTTTGCCATTTTAGAGGAGTTCGCAGTCCCGGGGTACTCACCTCTCATAGCCAAACATGACCCCCTAAATCGTCACTCGGAGCCTATATGAAGGACGAGTTTCCATGTGGCAGAGACGTTAAAAATGAGGAACCCGAACTCCCGTATATGTGCTCCACATATACACAGTACCACATTCGTCTTTGTCCTCTACCGTCCTCAGGTCGAAGGGACGGTAATCTTCGACCGAATATCTGAGAAGATTGATAATATCCCCACTCGACTCTCCTCGGCTGGTTTTCATATCTTCAATATCCACCATAAAGAGTGGCTAGTTCACTCCAACAAAACCTATGTTGAAAGCATATATTGCAGAGACTTCTCCGTCGCCTATGAGCTAACTCAGATCATCGGAAAACCTACCCTGTTCCCGGACACGACGGGTCATCAGGCGAACCTCCTTGACCTGATAAATGGGTATCCAAAGTTTTACCTCCACTAGGCACATCAGACCATTACCTAATCAGTGTTCAGACTGATGCCAAACCTAAGTCATCCTCTGGTTTACGCTCCATAGAACGATTTTCACTATGCGAAGGCAGACAGAGATAGCTTTCGATCCTGAAGTTCCCCTCCCAACCTTTTTAAAGCATGCTGCCTCAAAAACTGCTGCCCTTGTCTCTGATTGGATCCGCTCTGGAATAGAGTGTTTTATATCCCACGAAAAATTCCAGCAAAAAAAACAAACCGTCAACCCTAATTCACCCCCGAATGCGCTTCGGCCATAGCTCACCGAAACCACTATTGCAATGTCTATAGCAAGGAGCAAAGTAGTTCGATCTTCACTGATTGCAATCGCTGCAAAAACATTCGAGAAAATGCCAAGCAGCCCACACCAAGGTTAAACCAAGGTTAAAAAGAAACAAATTAGAACTCGTGAATTCTGAAGGTCATCAAACAAATCATGAACAGAGGTATAGCATCTGTGCCCACAATTATAAATGGCCCCTAGTCATATCTTCCTCGACAGATTAGGCGAACCTCTTCGCCTCCAACTCAACCTTAGGTGACAAAGACCATTCCCACGTCTCACCGAGCACAAACTCAGTAATATTACCATCACAGTATGAGAAGTTTCTAGACTTATCAAAGGCCTTGACTCTAAGAAAGGCACAGGTCCAGCCAAAATTCCAGTGGTTGTCTTTAAGAACATCAACCCGAAATTATCTCCAATCCTAGCAAAATTATTCAACTGCTGCTTGAAGGAGAAATCCTTCCTTAGCCCGTGGAAAGTGTCAAGCGCATGCCCGGTTTTCAAGAACGCGGACATGCGATGTTCCTTCTCCTAAAGACATCCATCCTGACATCCATCCTATTATGGTTCCTTTTATACATTTTATTTTTCTTCTTTATTCTTCCTTCTTATTCTTTTATTTTTCATTTTTATTCTTCATATTTATTCTTTTTATTTTTTATTCATCCTTTTTAGTATTCTTCCTTTTATTTTTCCTTTTTATTCTTCTTTATTCTTCTTCCTTTTTATTCTTTTTCTTTTTCCTTTTTATTTATCCATCATATTATTCTTCATTTTTATTCTTCTTTTTACTTCTTTTTTATTCTTCTTCCTTTTTATTCTTTTTCTTTTTCCTTTTTATTATTCTTCCTTTTTATTCTTCTTTTTACTTCTTTTTTATTATTCTTCCTTTTTATTCTTCTTTTTACTTCTTCTTTTTTATTATTTTTCCTTTTGCTTCTTATCAACTCATTTTCTTCAATTTTACTTTTCTTGTCTTAATTATCTTCTCTTTTTCAACTGCACCTTCTCTACATTTTTCTTCTTTTTCTTTCTTTCATAGTTTTATTTCCTCACTCAGCCTTTTTCTTTTTTTCTGTTTTTTTCTTTTTTATTTTCTCTTTTGTTTTTTCTTTCTCTTCCCTTTTCCTTTTTTTCACTGTATTAATTTTTGCTCTTCAAGTTCCTTCATTTTCTTTCATTTTTAATCTCTTCTTATTCTTCTCCATCAATCTCTATTTCTTTCCTCTTCATTTTTTATTTCTTTTTTCATTCCTTTTGCAGCAGCAGCAGCAGCTTCTTCTTCTTCTTCTTCTTCTTCTTCTTCTTCTTCTTCTTCTTCTTCACTTTTTTCTAGTTGATTTCTTTAACCTCCTTCCCAACATAGCTTTACTTTCATTATTATCATCTTTCTTTTCTCTTTCTCCCTCAGTATTTTTGGCTTCCCCTCAGCCACCTCTTCTTATTCCATTCTTTCTTTTGATGTTGTTTTTCACCTCACTTGATCTTAACCCAGTCCCAGGGAGTGTGTCTGATTTGTTCAAATGGATCCATGCCACACAGATACTCTCAGTAATCAATACAAGTTACATTTCTCCTTTTTGGGTATTCACTAAAAGATTTTTTTTTTCTCTTTTCTTTATCAATCTATGAATTTAAGCATTAAGGTCACATGACTAACTTAGCTATTTTTTTATTAATGTTTGTTTCTAATTGTTCTCCACCTCATTTTGGAAAGTGTACATTAAAGAATAAAGCAAAAATCACATTATAACAAAAAATACCTTTGAAAAATCATGTGACCTATTCACTTAATCTCATTGGTCAATGTTTAAGTGAAATTTTGATGGTGTCCAGAAATAACTACTGATGGGAGCATGAGTGAAAAAAGAAATGGCCTCCACAATGTTCAGTTAACGCTCCAATCAATGAAAGACAAGCCTGAAAATGCTGAAATTTGTAATCAGCATGTTGTCAGATTATTGAAGATTAGCATGAGATACTTTTGGCTGAGTTTTTTTAGATGTAGTTTTTTTATTGTTATACAAGGATTATTTTAGACTAGTTTCTTCATTTTTGCTGTTTTAATTGCAATACTTTGGCCACACTACCAGTTAGACTTACTGTCATATTTGATAAATTTATACCAAGCGAATCTCTTGTATAGCTGTTGTGGATTCCGGGTTAAAATCCGGTACCAATAAATAACAAATGAATGAATATATGAAAATAATGTATTAACATAATAATACAAACTGGTAAAGCAGGTTAGTAGTTCCAGGAATACATGTTAGTAGCAAAATATATATACAGTCTTTGGTATTGAAGTATCGCTGTATGACTTCTTACTGAGTCTACATGCTCGCTCACTCTGACTCCTACAACACTATTACCTCACCCTCACTCTTCCAGTTACCTATAACCTTTTACTCTGTCACTCTGGACTTGACTCTTCGGTCTTGCTCCCTCTGGTCTTCATGTAGCCGTAGTATATGTATATACTGGGTGAGTCCATTTTTATAAAAAGGTGAGAACCCCTCAACAATAACATTATAAAATATATTTGTTCAGGCTAGTTTCTTTATCTTTGTTACTTTTAATACAATATTTCAGTTGTTGTACCTTCAATTTCTTCTCACATGTCTGTCCTTTACGAAATACAACAGAAAACTACTGAAGGCTGGAAATTACAGTGACTAAAATGCTGTGTTAATTCCAAAGCTAGAAATTGTCTCAGAATTTATCTGGCGAATTACTGTAAGCATCAACTCTTTTCTATTTTCCCAAATGAACAGAAAACTTTCTGTAATTTTCAATGTTCACTTTTTATCTGTTTTTTAAACACATCAAATCATATGGAAAGTTCACAAATACCCTATAAAAAGTACAACATTACTAAAAATGTTCACAATGCTAAAAATGTTCACCAATACTAAAATTAATTACACCATTACTAAAAGTATATACCACTACTAAAAAGTACACCACAACTTATGAAAGTACACCATTGCAAAAAAAAAAAGAAACCATTGCTAAAAAGTATATTTTACTGAAAACAAATACATCATTACTAAAAGAAAATGTACAGCTTACTAAAAATTGTACACCTTATTAAAAAAGTATAATATTACTAAAAAAAATATGTATTTCACATTATTTAAAATCCAAAGTAGAACCTGCAATGTTATTGGTCCTGACCTGTCATCTCGGTTTCAATCATTTTCCCATTGCCATAATGTAGTTTACTGTGCTTTTTTTTATAAATAATTTTATGGTAATTGTTTGGATGTACTTTCCTCTATGGTACCTAAATTTAAGAGCAATACTAAATTGGCAGTAAGATCTTGTCATTTTACGAACAAAATCACTACATGTAACCATACTTTCTTGCTAATAGTGTTTCTTTTTTGTGGAATTCTCTTTTAGATTTTTGCTTTCCACTTAAATTTGAGGTTCAAAACTTTAAATGCAATGTCAATTGTTATCTTCTGTCTTCTTAATTCTTGTTCTTTTATTGTCTTCTTTCCTTAATAGTAGTTTTTCTCATATTCTCTAACACTCAGTAACCTCTTGCGCCTTAGTGGCTTTATTGCCTTTGATCTTCAAAACCTGAATGCAATGTCAACCCTTATCTTCTTAAATTCTGTTCTTTTATTGTTCTTGCTCCTTAATAAGATTTTTCTTATATTCTTTCACACTCAGTAACCTCCTGCATGTTAGTGGCTCTGCTGCTTTGCTGAGGGTGAAATGATTTAAAAAAAAAAATTTAAATTTAACCGCCATTGTCTTTGAAATTGTTCCCCAGTGAATATAGACAGCAATCTCAGCATGTTTGAGATGTTTCAAAAGCACCATGAAAGTGATACCATCAGTGACTCCATTGGGATTACGTCTACACTATAGATATTGAAACTTGGCTCACCACTAGTTTCCTCACCAAGTTCAAAGCACATGTAAAAGACGTGATTGCTTTTGACTGAGTGTCAGGAACAAGAGGAAAAATATTACAGAATGAGAATTCTCTTGGCAGACTTCATAACTAATTCCAATAATTTTGAGAAAGTTGCAGGAAAGCTTAGTAACAGACTCTTGCATGAATTCATACATGTTTTTCTATATTCACAAGAATTTTACTGGTAATTAGTTCAACTGACACAGGCTATAGGAATAAAAGCAACAATAATAAGATGGAATAAAATTAGTAATAAAATAATAATGATAAGTGTATTTAATCAGAGTATTGGGATAAAACATAAGAAAATCATAATCTTCATTCTTTTATTGACATATAAGGGGACTTCAATTTCTCTTTATAAAATGTATTAAAGGCAACAGGATTATTTTGACATTCATTGTAAGAAAAAATTTGTAAGGCATTTTATACAATAAGCTAAACCTTCTCTGATTTCTAATAATAATTAATTTTACTTGAAATTTGAAGATTTAATCACTAGACATTTTGGTGTTTCTTTCAGTTGAATAATTGATTGGATTTCATTTATTAGAATCCACCAAATGAAATTAAAATTGAAAGCCGTAATTCCATTTGTGCATTTATAATCTTCTAATCAGATTAATAAATACATTTAATATTTTTTTGGTTTCAATTTTGAATCCAAGTCATAAGACAAAATCCATTTGAGACATATAAGATAGATATGAATGGACATAGATAGATAGATAGATAGATAGATAGATAGATAGATAGATAGATAGATAGATAGATATGAGCAGACTGAGATAGATAGATAGATATGAATATTGAGATATATAGAGATATATATATATAGATAGATATGAATATTGAGCTAGCTAGATAAATAGATAGATATGAGCAGACTGAGATAGATAGATAGATAGATAGATAGATAGATAGATAGATAGATAGATATGAATATTGAGATATATAGATATAGATAGATATGAATATTGAGCTAGCTAGATAGATAGATATGAGCAGACTGAGATAGATAGATAGATATGAATATTGAGATATATAGATATATATATACATAGATAGATATGAATATTGAGATAGATAGATAGATAGCTAGCTAGCTAGCTAGCTAGCTTGCTTGCTTGCTTTCATGTTTTGGCACAAGTTGTGCCTCTTTAGACAATGGTAAATAACCAGTGAGTAAACGATTATTTTTAATTTCAAAAGCAGAATACCCCCTCTTTTCATTAACGAGTAAACAACAGATCAGAATTAAAATGAGGCTTGTGGGTTCACCCTGATTAACCAATCAAGTGTCAGACCTATACTAAATCCAAAATTAACCTAAAAAAATAAAATTAAGATCATGGCATAATGTAACCTGAAATAGAAACTAAGACAAGGTCATTTGTGTCAGACATGAAATTGATTCAAATTATAAACGAGTGTCAACACAGTATCATAATTGTAGACAAATATGACTTATTCAGTTTTCCATAAGAAGCTAAATTGATGGTTAGGAAACTAATCAAACGTATAGCTAATAGTAACACAGATTTTGTAGTTGAAAATTAAAAGGTTTCTTTAAGAAACCAATGAATAGATTTAATATAGCTATGTATTGCTGTCTAGTCGGTATTATTAACATCTTATATGGATGTTCTACGTTTTTTTATTTTAAACAGTTTAATTGTATCCACTGGTAAAATACAGTAATTTTCAATTACTCATGTAAGCATCACAAGCAAGGTTTATTTATGGATTTACAAGTTCTGACTTTTTTTAAATTATGGCCTATTTAAATCTGCTGTTTTCTCATCTTTATTTGCTATTGCCTGAAGAGACACAACTTAGTGCCAAAACTCGAAAGCTATTGTGTAGAGATTTTTTACATGTTTTTGTATTAATATCCTATAAGCAAGGTTCATTTAAGAATTTACAAGTTCTGACTTTTTTAGAATATGGTCTATTCAGATCTATTGTTTTCTTGTCTTTATTTAACATCGCCTGAAGCACGAAAGCTATTGTGTAGAGATTTTTAACATGTTTTTGTATTCATCTCCTATAATATATCCTATATATATATATATATATATATATATATATATATATATATATATATATATATATACATATATATATATATATATATATATATATATATATATATATATATATATATATATATATATATATATATATATATATATATATATATATATATATATATATATATATATATATATATATATATATATATAGAAAAAGTTTCAAATTAAAAATTATAATGTTTTATTTTTGAAAGTATTTATTTATTTATATATATATTTGATATTTCAAATTGTCCTCAATTTTTCATCAGAAATAACTGTTTGTTACAAATAAATTAAAATTACTGTTTGTTGGCAAGTAGCATCCTTTTGAGAGACTTGGACGTCACGTGATATGGAACGTCACTGTTCAGATATTCTAACTTAAATCTAACTGTCATAAATATTTTAAAAAATATTTTTTACTATATCTAAAGAAATTGCTTAGCTATTGAAATATTTATAAAGATTTAAAACACCTAAGTCCCTATTCAACCCTAATTTATGTGTATTTAATTTTAAAATCCAATATGTTTTTTTTTTCTGCGTGTGAATGTGGAAGTAAAATCGGAATCTATTAATAAACATTTGCAGTTTTCTAATGTGTGTCCTGATTGATTGTAGTG